GGTCTTAAAGGCTTGAAGATAAGCAAGCAGCCATCTAGCTCAGAAGCAACAAAGCCCACATGGAGGAAGCACACCAGCCTGTGTGACCACAAGCTGTCGATGGGATCAGGTATCAAGCATCAAAGAACAAAAAAGCATATCATTGTGAATGAGGGGGGGAATGCAGAGTGGAGACTCAAAGCCCATCGGTAGGCAATTGGACACCCCCTTACAGAAGGGTCTCGGGGAATTATGAGCCAGTCAGGGTACAGGGTAGCAAGGATGAAACATATAACTTCCCTCTAGTTCTGAAATGTTTCCTTCCCCCCACTATCATGATCCCAATTCTACCTTACAAATCTGACTAGATCAGACGATGTACATTGGTACAGATAGCAACTGGAAACACAGGGGATCCAGGGCAGATGACCCCCTTCAGGACCAGTGGTGGGAGTGGCGATGCCTGGAGGGTGGAGGGAATGTGGGGTGGAAAGGGGGAACAAATTACAAGAATCTACATATAGCTTCCTCCCTAGGGGATGGACAGCAGAGCAAAGGGCAGGGGGAGATGTCGGACATATGTGTAACATATGACAAAATAATAATAATTTATGAATTATAAAGGGCTCATGAGGGAGGGGGGAGTGGGAAGGGAGGGGGGAAAATGAAGAGCCAATATTAAGGGCTCAAGTAGAAGGCAAATGTTTTGAGAATGATGCTGGCAACAAATGTACATATGTGCTTGACACATGGATATATGTATGGATTGTGATAAGAATTGTACGAGCCCCCAATAAAATGATTTTTAAAAATAATAGGAAACAGATTTACAGTGATACACACAGGGAGAAGAATCCAAGCTAAACAAACTATCAAATTCCTAGAAATGCAGGAGGAACGACCATTCCCCTAGAATTGATATCTAGATAGGGTATCTAGCCTGCAAATCTATGAGAGGATAAATCCAGAAAGCACTTGTTGAATTTTTTTTCCCTTAAGGCCACCCTAGGAAACTAAGATATTTTTAATTAGAAATCTTGTCTCCAAAATAGATATTAAACAGTGTGATCACAATACAAAGATGAACTACAAACTAGATTTTTAAGTGAACTTTAAAATATGACAATATGACACAATTGATGTATGTATGGATTGTGATAAGAGTTGTATGAGCCCCTAATAAAATGTTTAAAAACAATACAAAACAAAAAGAATGTACAAATGTGCTTTACACAACTGATGTATGCATGGATTGTGATAAGAGTTGTATGAGCTCCTAATAAAATGATTTTAAAAGAAGAAAAAATATTTAACATTGGTTAAACAAGATGATCTAATACATCAAAAAATATGACAATATGTAGTAATTAAAATCTCTAAGTGGTTTCATCCAAATACATATATGGTTTTATTTATTGTTTGATGCCAGTAAAACAATTTTTTTTCTTGACTCCCAGGTTATGGACAAGTATGGAGAGTTCTATGGTCGAGATAGAATCAGCGAATTGTTAGGCATGGACAAAGCGGCTCTGGATTTCAGTGATACTAGAGAAAAGAAGAAGCCAAAGAAAGACAGTTCCCTATCAGCAGTGTGAGTGTTATTTTGTTCCAACCTCTAGTTTAGAATGAAAGGGGACAAAATAATGCCTTTCTAAACTTGCCACTGTATTTGTTTAATTTCTTTTTTGTAGGGTCAGAAAAACAAGACATTTTTTCAATTCTGGATATTTGAGCTAATGGATGATTTGCTTATCTTCATTAATATTGGACTGTTTCCATTTCATTGTTTACATAAAGGAAGAGAAAATAAAGAAGACCCATGCTCTTAATTTAATTTAACATCACCCTGGTGATGTAGTGGGTTTCTAACTAGAAGGTCAGCAGTTCAAAACCATGAGCTTCTCCTTGGGAGGAAAATGAGGATTTCTACTCCTGTAAAGAATTGTAGTCTCAGAAATCCACAGGGACAGTTATGCTATCTTATAGGGTCACTGTGAGTCAGTTATCTCAGTGGCAGTCACTTTTATATGTAAGTCAAAATAAATCATATGTAACAGTATAATCTGTGACTATATGTTATGATACTACCGGTTTGAGTAGAAATCAATTCACTTGTGTTTTATAAAAAGGAATTTCATAACCTTTTTATTACAAGGGCTCAAACTTTATATTCTATTATTATCATTACTGAGTTTTATTTAAACAATAAAGGCTAAGTTTGCCGGAAGCTACTATACTGCCATGCATGTTTAAAATGAGGCTATACGGATAGTGATTGGATTGATTAGAATATTTGAGGTATAATAACTATATAGCATAATTAAAAGGATATAGTTAACTGTTATGAATTTATCTCAAGACTGAATGACTATGCACATCCAAACAAACACATAATATGTATGTATGCAATATATGTGTGAAACTGATAGGTATGCATCATGCTTGTGTATATGCATATATATGTAAATTTTGGTCAATTGAAGTTCTAGAATAAACATCAAGTATGATAACTTAAAAATTACAAAGTATTATTGTAGCAATATAGTAATTTTTGAAGTTACTTATTATTTCCTTCCCTTAAAAACATATGTCTTCTTGTCAACAGTTTTATTGGCAAGTAATTTACATATTGTACAATTCAATAGTTCAATCATTCAATCATATCAAGGAGAACTGTACAATCACCCCTACATCAATTTTTTTAGACCATTCCCTCTTGAAGGTTAAATCACTTTCAAGATGAGTTATGCAATCACAACCCATTGTAGTGTGTCCCTCAATTCCATTCAACATCCACTCCTGAGGTCCCCTTTCTTTCCCTATCATCCACCCACCATCCCTTCATACCCTGTAACCCCTTGTGTCAGTTATTTTCATTATGCACCCACACCTCCTGTGCCTCATAGCTTGGAGACCCAACAGTAAGCAATGAAAAAAAAAAATAGCACTAAGGTGATAAGGCTTAAAACATATGAGTATACAAACAAAGATACAAATAATGCGTAACAAGTGACAGACCTCCAACACCATTAAAAAAATCCAGGGAAGAAATTTCTGTCATGAAACCAATAAGAGATACTTATACCCAGAATATGTTCAGGTCCCATCTATAGGGTGGTCAGATGTCCATGTTAATCCAGCATAACCAAGATTACAATGATCTCTGCCTTTTAGTAAGGCTGTTCAAGACTCTTGCCTATTAGAGTGGATCTGCTAGTGGCTCAGCCTTTCTAGGTATTCTGCAGATGGGGTTTGGGCCCCCACGGTCCCCCATAACCCTCCACAAATTAGGCATTCATAAATTTTTGCTCTGGTGCTTCTCTCTACACCATAGTCAAATTTTGTAATTGTAGTCTCTGCATCTCACAAGCTGGTGTGCCTCCACCATGTGAACTTAGATGGCTGCTTGTTTGAACACAAGCCTTTAAGACCCCAGCCACTATTCCAGTTGATAGCGGGCACCATCTACTTTCTTCACTACACTTTGCACCATTATTTTCAGTGTTCCTTTCATGAAGGTGAGTATGGAGCAGGGTCATACATATTAATCTTTTTTTAAATCTGAGTATGTATGCTCCCAATCAGAGATGTGATTGTTTTGAAAACATAGATATCTATGAATCTGTAGATCAGTATTTATTATAGATAAATATTACAGTGCTTACTAAAAGATGTTATTTATGATATAGATCCATCTCATTGGTTATAGTACTTAGAAAAACAAATGTGCATGGTTGAATGGTTTTGTAAGCTCTTATTCTTATTAGAACCATAAATTATTCTTTTGGAATGCACATGAGAGGGAATGCTTGTGGACGCTTGTAAGCTTCTAGTCTTTGATTAAAATAAATATCTGTGAGTTCTTCTTTCTCTCTCATTGCAGACTGAACTCTATTGATGTGAAATATCAGATGTGGAAATTAGGAGTCGTTTTCACAGACAATGTAAGCCTACTTTATTACTGTGATATACTCTGATTAGATTAATCTGTAGGCATTCTGCAAATGTAAAGCCAGTTATTGGAGAAAGTTACTCAAATGTCATTTCAGTTTATAAAGATCATATCTGAGAAAGATTCACAGGAAGATAATATTAATAAGCCCTTTTGTTACTCTGTCTTCTTCAATAGCTGAGAGATTAAAATGGAAGTATATTTTCACACGAAAGAGAAAGTGAGGTATAATTTAAGATGAATGTTTATTTTTGTTGGTCAATGGCATCCTTCAAAGTTTTACAGATTTTAAAAAGAAAGTTCTAACGGGATAAAAAAATGTTTTTAAACAAAATATTAATTGCAATGAATTTAAATTCTCCCTGAATTAAAGTACATTAAATTTTTGTTTTACTTTTCTTGATATATCCTTCTATTATCAGATAGCCTTTGAAAATTAAACTTAGGACCCAAATAGATATCCAAATATAATGCAAAACTATCACATATTTCTGAAAGCCACTTAAAGTCAGAGAAGGTCATCCCATTTTATTACCCTGGGCTAATCAATAACTTGAGATTTTAGTTTCTTATGATTTTCTATGCAAACAAATTTCACTATCAGTTGTTTCTGTGCTTCTGATCTTAGCTGATAGTCTCCTTGCTGCTGCTTAGTTCACTCGCCATCCTCACTCCCCATAGGAACACACCCAGAAACCTATTCCGAGAACTGCTGTCGAGGCTTCTGTGTTCTTCCTTGGACATTTCATTTACTAGCAAGAGTTCATGCTATCATTTTAGCACTGACTTTCATAATTAACACTAGTTCTAGTCTAAAGGCCTGTGATATTCCTCAAATTCACCTTCCTCCACCCCCTCAACTCTGCCTCCCCAGTCGAGGTATTTTCAACAATTCTCTTAAGAGCACAAAATCAAGCCTTTTAAATGAATATCTATTAGAGCCATCAGTTGGTAATGGTATCTGGCAGATAATTTCTGATGTAATAAGGGAAGCAACTCTTCTTATTACAAGGAGGCAACCTAAGTCCATCATTGGGAGTTATTATTCAAGTAGCTACTTAACCTGTAAAGAGAGACTTCTGTCTACGATTTTCTTCTACTGCCATTTTTTTGTTCTACTTACCACCTAAACTCAAAGTACTGGTTTGTATCCTTCATTTTTTTTCACCTTCCAGTACATACATTTGATCATTTATCTAATCATGATCCTCTTTCTGTCCTTTGCAATTCTTGCTTCTAGACTTCCCAATATTCTTAACAAAGTGGCATTCATACCCCTGCCCTTAGACTGGTCCAGTAGCTGTTTAACTTAATGGTTCGGCCATTTATAAAATGTGAGAATTTTAGACAGTTACATGAAGAAGTTCGTGTTTCTTTTTGTAAATTGGGAACACACCAATGTGTCTTTGGATTAAAAGAGAATAGAATACAATGAGAGATTCCATGAGTCAATACAGATCAGTGACTAACAGCAGATGCTAATGAAAGAGACTTTTTAGGTACCCTTTCTTTGCCCAAATTACTCCACTGGTCCTAATTGCATATGGGATTCAGTCCATGTTCTTAGTTGTTTTCAAGGTCCCCTGCAGTGTTCCCCTCTGTAGTCTTCCAGGCCCTGCCCCCCAAATAGGAACCTGTTATCCAAACCAAGCTCTCATCCCCCAGCACAATCTGCTGTCTTTTCTCCATGCCTTTTTTTTTCATTTTTTATATCATTTTATTTGGAGCTCATACAACTCTTATCACAATCCATACATACATCAATTGTGTAAAGCCCATTTGTACATTCATTGCCCTCATCATCTCAAAACATTTGCTCTCCACTTAGGCCCCTGGCATCAGCTCCTCAGTTTTTCCCCTCCCTACCTGCTCCCCCTCCCTCATGAACCCTTGATAATTTATAAATTATTATTTTGTCATATCTTTCCCTGTCGAACATCTCCCTTCACCCACTTTTCTGTTGTCCGTCCCCC